AATATCGTCGTTTCGTTTGATATGTGGGATACAAACACGTATGCTGTGACAATTAAAGATTGATTAGTACTATGAATTGAGTATATATATATATACACTATGACAATGCCAAAGAATTTTTTATTCTATACCAAAGAATTGAGTATACGGGGGCATTTATTAATTATAATCACAAAATTTTTCTTTCTCAATCAATAACAATAACATAATAATAATTTTTCGAGCTAATATTAAACATTAAAAATTAATATTCATTACAAAAGTTTTTAATTTTAAACTTTTACAATTGATCCTGATAAGTTTCCATCTTTTGAAATCTTTCTATGACAGTATCATTGTCAATGCTATCAAAAATATCTCTTTTAATGTAGACAACCAAGCTATCATTCATCCATTCATCACCGATTCAGTTTCGCAACTGATTCTTCACAATATTCATAGCTAAAAATACCCTCTCAACAATAGCAGTTGCAACAGGTAAGATTAATGCTAAAGTCAAGAACAAATACATCAATGGATATACTTTGTCTATTCCAGTCTCCACCATTTTCTTAGCAAGATCAGTAATTCCATTCAACATTGAGAACTCACTACTAGATAGCATGTCGATAATATATGTATCAAGTTGATCATTAAGTATCATGAGCTCCACTGAAGAAAATTCTTTGGGATAAAATTCAACAAGATGAATTAACTTTTTTCTGTCAAAACTAGAGAAAGAGTTAGATGGATTTAAACATGCCACACAAATTAACAACTCAGTGTTCGACTCAGTGAAACGAGCATTTAGTTCTTGAATTTGCATATCCAAAACAGTGTAGAATAACTCAGTGCGATAGTGATGTAAGTTTGTAATTTCTTGAACATTTCGCCTTTTTCTCCCTCGAGCTACAAACATATCATCTACTTGAGGAACATCAATTTCATGATTTTCACAAAAAGACAAAATATCATCAAGTAAAGATGTCCACCCATTCTCTTTCATCTTTTGGAGTCATACTTTAGGAATTTGAACTAAATTCATGGCATTAACAATGTCTTGATCTTTCCTTTGTAGTGCTTGCGATAACTCACTTGTAATAGTCAACATCGTTTTCATCAAATGATGGTTGAATACAAACTCAAATAATTGAATTGAGTCCAACAATACATTTGCTTCTGCTCATTATTTTAAATTTGAACCATCCTCTGAAATCATTTCAAGCACATCAATCACTGTTGAAAATATACTAGCCAAGCTGACTAAAGTACCATAGTGTGAACTCCAATGTGTATCACCAGCACATTTAAGATTAGTTTCTTAATTTAAGCCTTGCCTACTAGATATCTCTCCAGTATTAAGTGTCTTCACAACTTTTACAGCTTGCTTCTCCCTAACAATATCTCAGCGTTTACATGATACTCCAATAACATTCACCACATTAAAAACCAAAGTGAAAAGTAAAGCAATTTGATTATGATTATTTGCCATAGCTACAAGTACCAATTGCAATTGATGAGCAAAACAATGAACATAATATGCACAAAGATTCTCTTTCAGTATAAGTGTTTTAAGACCATTGAACTCACCTTACATATTACTAGCCCCATCATATCCTTGACCCCGCAATTTGAAAATACTTAATCCAAGTCTGGAGAATAAATTTTCCACAGCTTGTTTGAGTGAGTTAGCATTCGTATTAGCAACATGCTTAATATCTAAAAAGCGCTCAATCATTTGGCTTTTTTTGTCAACATATCGTATTACAACTGCTTTTTGCTCCTTGATTGATATGTCACAGGCTTCATCAATCAAAATAGAAAAAGTGCATCATCAAGATTTCTAATAATCACATTAATAGTTTCAAATGCGGCCACATTTACAATGTCTTTTTGAATATCAGAAGATGTTAACTTGAGATTTTGTGGAGCATTGTCCAATGCAACCACTTTGACATCTTCATTATGATTAGTAAGAAACTTGAGAAGTTCAAGAAAATTTCCTTGGTTACTTGAATTTTCAGATGCATCATGTTCACGAAACGCAAGTCCTTATCTTAGAAGAAATTCGACACAATCAACTGATGCAATCAAACGGGTTCGATACTTAATTTGAGCTTGATCAGATTGTTTGAAAAAAATCGTTTGAATATGTTGGTTTTAGTTTAACAAGTCTTGATATTTACTCGAAACTTGATTATGAGCACTATTGGGACCTCCAACATGAGTTTGAATTTTTTCTTTTTTTATTTCAATTTGAGAAACCCTCACCAACAAAAGAATCACCCCCAACTTGATCTCTAATATCGAGTTTGAAAAGATAACATCATAAATAAAATGCTGCATCTTTTGCTACGCTATACTCCAACTAATTAGGAAATTCACTAAACCAAGCCTGATTAAATCCCCGAAATTTTTGTCCAAATGAGTTTTGTGGAAAATTATGATCACGAGGTTGACAAGGACCTTTTTGTATATATGCTCTACGAATTTGGTTTCGATCATTAGCATTATAGTCCATAATCCGAAAGTCGTAGTCTTGGATCTACAAGAAGGTCTACTAAGTTGATTTCTATGCGACTTAATTTTGCGGAAGAATAATTATCATCTTCTTCTTGAGGAAGAGATGATTATAACTTTGATTCTTTAAAAAAATATTTCTCCATGACTGTTTGAAAAAACTAAAAATCAAAATAAAAATTCATAATCAAAATCACAAATCCCCACAAATCAAAATTTTCAATTTTAATACAAATCAAAAAATTTAAATTTAGCACAAATCACGACAAATCAAAAATTTTAATTTTAGCACAAATTATAACAAATTAAAATCCCTAATTTAAATATTAATCACTGCAAATTAATATTTTTAATTTTAGCACAAATCAAATTTCTAATTTTAACACAAACAACAACAAACCAAAATCCCTAATTTTAATATAAATCACCACCAATTAAGATTCATAATTTTAGCATATTAAAATTTCTTATTTTAACATAAACAATAACAAATCAAAAAATTTTAGAATCAAAACTTAACAAATAACTATAAATTAATACTCATAATTTTTATTTAAAATTAAAAAATAATAAATAAAGTTACCTATAAACAATGAAAAGAAGATACCAAGATTGTAGTGTGGTTCCAAATTTGTGTTGTGTGATCCTAATCTGGTGAATCACGAGTCGGTCAATTGCAAAGTAATAAAGGGAGACAAAGAAAATACGAAGACACTTAACAAGTACTGTGAATATATAAAAAAAAATAAAGAATTTCATACAAGTACTGTGAATATATAAAAAAATAAAGAATTTCTACACTTTAGCGTTTTAGGGTTTTAGCCTTGCCGTAATTGGAGTTGTGTGCACTCACAAAAAAAAAAAAAAAAAAAAAAAAAGGTTGGTTGGGATTGGGATTAAAAAAAAAAAAAAAAAAAAGTGGATGCGTGTGGTGTGTCAGTGTGTTTGGATAAATTGGGAGGGTTGTGTATTATGTATAGAAGGGGCACTGTGTGTAAGTAAGACCCCACCTAAAAAAAATAAATTTTTTTTTGAAAAGTTAGGGGGCACGTGAACCCCCTCGCCTCTATGTCTCTCCGTCACTGATGATATATATACTCTATATTAGTTTGTAAATTTTGCTTACATGGTATTTTAAAATATATATATATATAAATATATTAAATCAGGTTGTTTTTCGACATGAAAATTGAATAAACTCAACATTTTTACATATTTGCACCCAATCTACACGGGGTTGCATTTTGTATACCAAGCATATCATTATAGCATCGTGTGATAGAGAGAATGTTAAGATTAAAAAAAGAAAAATGAGACTGAACTCTATGCTCTAGTGTTCTAGTCTATGTAACAAAGTACATGATCGAATCCTATGTTATTTGTTCATTGTATTAATGTATTTGTTTTGTTACAAACATCTACCCACTCGTGTGATAGAGACAACATTGAGATTGGAAACAGAAAAATGAGACTGAATTCATAGCTAATATACATGACACCCAACTTGCGGTAGAGTGAGAAATTAGTTATAGAAATGTTATATATTATCGATTTTATTTTATCATTTTAAATTAATGACAAAAAAAATTATGTCCTATAGTATTTTTTAAGATAAAATATTAGATATTTAAGGAGTATCACTTGACAAATTTTACTTGTTATTTTTGGTTAAAATAAAATAACAATACAAATTAAAGTAAGTTATTATTTATCTCGTGACTATTTAACAAAGATGATCAAATATATCTTATCTTTTATTTTATTTTATCATATAAAGAGAAATCATTTGATGGTCTCAGAGTAAGGATTCAAACCATTCATTTGATAGTTATTTGCAGCAATGCTAGGTATTATGAAAAGTCTTTCATGAAAATAGTCATGAAAGATTTGTGACCTTTGGATTACACTTACAATAAAGCACCACACACTAATCAAGGTAATTTAAGGGTCACAAAATTTTCATGATCATTTTCATGACAAAATTTTCATGATATCTAACATTTCTCATTTGCAATATTGTGTTTTGAAAAATCAATACAAAAGTAATAGGACGTACTCTTTTAATTAATTAACTTGACAAATTTTACATGTTATTTTTGGTTAAAAAAAAATAACAATACATATTAAAGTGAGTTATTATTTATCTCGTGACTATTTAACAAAGATGATCAAATATATCTTATCTTTTATTTTATTTTATCATATAAAGAGAAATCATTTGATGGTCTCAGAATAAGGATTCAAACCATTCATTTGATAGTTATTTGTAATATTGTGTTTTGAAAAATCAATACAAAAGTAATAGGTCGTACTCTTTTAATTAATTAAAAAACAGATTGGATTTTGTACTACGGCAGCGAGCAAACTTTTCCTTGGAAATTGTCTTTTTCCCTCAGGTCTCTGCCCTTTACAAGAATCTTAAAGAATTATAACCGACCGGCCAAGCATTTTGGCCTTTTACACAGCCTCTCCATTTCCATTACAAATACATAACAACCCTCCTCCCAAATTCTACATTCACCACCCTCTCTCTCTCTATCTCTCTCTCTCTCTCTCTCTCACACACACACACACACACAAACAAACAAAGTACATTAATGGCGGACAGAGCAACACTAGCAAAGGCAAGAAGAGAGCTGGAAGAAATGTATCTCGGAATCCCAGACGACTCTGTCAACCTCACTTTCGGAGACCTCGCCGACGTCAAACCCGAGAAGCGAAAGTCCGGTCCCTTGGAACCCATCAAAGAACTCAACCCTAAAAAACAAGAACCCGCAACACTAACAAAACTTCCAAGCCTAGACTTCAGCAGGGCCTTTCTAGGAGCTTCCCACCACCACGTCGCCGCCGCAGAGGACTTTGCGAGCCACCGTGGAGGCGGGGAGAACCACCACCACCACAATCAGCATGTGGATCATCATCGTGGGTATAATAGTAGTAGTCCGAGAAGACATGCGAAGGAAACTAGTATGGCTTATGATGACATGAGTGTGTTTTCCACCAGCCCCTACAGGCAAGGAGGTGGTGGCGGTGGTGGACGGCGGCGACCGGGGATTCCTCACTCTAATATATGCACTGTTTGCAGTAACTACATCTATATTTGCCGTCACCGGTGCCTGGTATGAATAATTGATATTCATTTTTAATTTATATATATATATATTTTTTGGGCATGTAGTATTGTTGCTGTTGTTTTGCTTAAAATTCTGAAACATCTTGGGGAGATTTTGAAAGGGGTAGATTGTCTCTAGAACGGGAGAGCGTTGTTCAGGTTGTGGGTTTACTATGGGTCTTGTTATAATTATTTGAATTATTCATTTTGTGAAGTACTTTATGTATATATTTTTTGAAAAAATTAGATCGATAACATGTTTAATTTATCTCATTTATTATAGAATGAAAAGTGATGTATGGTATCAAATGGACCTAAGAGGGTTGTATGGTATCAAAAGTATCGTTTTAATAATCTAACCTTTCATTCTATAGTATAGAATATTCGCTACCATCTCTCTATACTTAAAAGAGGACTCTTGATACTGGACAACCTCAGGTCCATTTGGACAATTCAAATTTGTTTTACAATTATAGAATATAGATTTTGATTTTGAATGATGTGTGGCAATCTTATGTATTAGAATGGAAACATTAATGAGAGGATTTGACGCTTTGTTTGTTTTGATGAAAAACAAAAAAATTGTAAAAAAGAAATTTACTGATAAAATTTGGTTGTATTAACAGTGGTAGAGGGATGGCACCGGCCCTGAATTTTTGAGAGCTTAAGGCCAAATAATTTTTTGAGAGCCTTTTAGTTATTCATAAAAAATAAAAATAAAAATTACCTTGTTTGGTTCAGAGTTTTCAAAAATAATTATCTGAGTTTGCAATTCGTATTTTTTTTTTTATATTTGGCAACTTTTTTTTATTTAAAAAAAACACAAATATTATAATTTTTAAGTGTATCTAAATTAAATGTATCTACAAAATAAATAAATAAAAATTACGTAAAATATTTAAAAAAAAATGACTAAAAAAACACATAATTGGGCCATAAAAAGAGGAAAAAAAAATAACCCACACAAAATTAGGTTAACGACTAATACATATATATATATAGTTTATGTTTTATTAACTAACACAGTAACACTTATAAATATTTTTAACTGGACCTTTTATTAATTGGGCCAATTAAAACTTTTGAACATTTTAAATGACCTAAATTAATTAAACAGAATTAGACCATTTTGAAATTTTAATATAGTACAAGATAATGAATTTGGAGGCCATTTTTTTACCCTAATTTTCGGGGTCTTAAGCATAGGCCTCACTAGCCTTAGCCCAAGACCGGCCCTATAGAGTGATGAAGGTAATGTATGTAGTGGTAGTGTGATTTTAGTCTATAAAATATTTTTTATATTTCAAAAATAAAAAATATTGATCTAAATAAGTTTTATTTATTTTTATTGATTTTCATTTATGTCGTACTAAACTCTAAAAGATACAGAGAATATTTTTTTAGAAATATATTTTATGCCTAAACAAATGGATTGTAAACATAAAAAGTATTATGTAATTAGAAAAATTATCCAAAAAATTACTCAAAATTTTAAATTCATGGTGTAAATTTAAACTTGATATTGTGGGGCACATCCATAATGAATATGTTCCTTAAATTTTAAAATTTGGTCACTTTTCTAAGTAATTCGTATGTGTATATAGCATTATTGATGTTATATTAGTCAATCTTTTAATATAAATATGTGGAAAATGATAATTGTTCCCAAATTATTTTTATCATTTTTTTCACCCTATGTATTCACACAACAAACATCATGTAGGTTATTTGCAAGAAAGATATGATAAGGAGTCCATTACATATGCCCTTTGTTGTGTGAATCTACTATGAGGTTGCAAAAATGATAAAATTCATACCAAAATATATAACAAACTCTCTAAATTTATGTATTTTTTAAAATTGGAATTATTTTGGTTGATTAGAAATAAAATTGTGAATGCAGGTATGTGGAAGAGCATATTGCAGGCAATGTGTGAGCTTGGGTATGGGAGAGATGACAGAAGGAAGAAAGTGCATCGAATGTTTGGGGAAAAGATTCAGCGAAAGGTAAAAATGCAGCCAATCATTAATTTGATTCACTTTCAATTTCTAATGTGGAGAACCAAGCTACTTTTTCAGTTTCAGTTTCTCTAAAACATGGATGATTTTTAGAATAACTTATATACTATGCATGAAATCCTAGGTCATAATCCTATTTTGTAAAGCTAGCAAGCATGATATCTCTTTAGTTGGATTGAAGGTGCTATTGGGATTCGTTAGGTTTATTATAAGTTCTATTACGACAATCTGAATAGTTGATTTTGTAAAATTTTGTGTCTAAACTATTGATGAAATTAGTCATATAATTTTATCATATTTGTCTTAAAAAAATAAATGGACAATTTTTAAAATTATACTTGTCGTTCAATTTTTTAAGATAAATATGATGAAATCATATAATTATAATAAATATCGGATCAATCTATTCCTTTTTCCATAAATAATCTACCCACAAAATTCTACAACATTAATAATTCATATCATAATGAGACTCATGCTAAACCTTACAAGCTTTAACTATACCGTCTAATCCACACAATGAACCAATTACTGTCCTCTATTTTAAAAAATAGTAATTTTGTTAATCTACTTTTACCGTCAATAAACAAAATCAGAACCCTATTTTTAACCTTCATATATCATTTTTTCTCAATTATTTTAATCACCTCATAGCTCAAGATGATTGGTCATTTTAGAAAATGACCCTTAAAAAAGCTTGATGATGACAGTATCTCCGGTGGTTGGTGGTCCAAGTAGTGGGCTGGCCCAGTGGTCTTCGATCCAACTGCGTATCCTAGAACAACACTTGTAGAACAAGCCTTTTAAGTTAGTTAGTTGTCTTGCTTGAGTGGAATAGAACGATCTGTCTGTGCATGGTTAGTATGCAGATAATCTTGGTGACCTCTCACGGAGTGCCACGTAGCTTGTCTTTGCTGGGGGACTGATTGGGCCCTTAGGTTGGGCCGAGGGGTAGCAACTGTTAAATTGGTTGGGTTGGGCCCATAATTAGAGAGGTTTGATTAGGCCGGGCTATCAAAACTCTGACAGTTTAATTCACAATAATATCATAGTGTTGTGTTACATGAAAATAAGAGAATTTATAATTCTAAACTCCGTGTATCTCGCATTTCTTGTCATTTTTCCATGTGAAGGTTTTTGTTTAAATATTATTGCTTTACTTGAATGTATAATGTCTAACACAAACTACAAAGATTTGGCATTTTCTAATCAGGATTTAGTAGCCGGCACTCATTTAAAATTTTATATTCTCCAAAATTTTGGCCGATAACAATTAATAAATTGGTTTTTAGAACTATGAATAGGCCGGCATTGATGATTAGACCCAAAAATTATTATACAAAAACAAAAAGGTGACCAGTTGAATTTTTGTACAAATTAAAAGTTAATACTTATTATATTACATTATTGTGAGGTCTCAAACATTTTTTTTACTCAAATGCAGATTTATAACTCAACAAAAATAGGGACCTAGAGTTTTTTGTTTTTAGAAAAGTACACAAAATGCAGTGTTGGATGGGACCCCAATTGTGCTCTGCAGATAGAAAGAATAAAACAAAATGAGATACAGATATAACTCAAAGTATTCAAATCTATCATTACAAACAAAATGCCTACAGCCATAGTTACAAAAATTTTGTATCATATCTATACATTCTGTATTTAGTGCTCTTTATACTCTTAGGACATGTTTAATTGGATGGATTAGAATATGGAATTGAGATTATTAATTCGTAAGCTCAATTATCTTATGTTTGTTTTAACATTTTGGTTTAAGATTATTAATTCAACAAATTTATAGGATTATTAGTAATGGGGTACGGGTAGGATTATTAATCCAATGGATAATTTATCCTATTAATCCAATTGGATAGTGAATATCACACTAATTTTGATAGAATTATTAATACCTCACTATTAATTTTGTGAATCAAACATGACCTTAGACTTTTTAAATGACACCCACCACACTCCAGCTAGATCTAATACCTAGTCACAATTTCACTTTATTAGTTTGATGTAATGTGTACTCAACAAAATAACTAGTCACAATTTCACTTTATTAGTTTAGCTACACACTTTTTCAGTGCATACTCCAACAATACTATCTACTTTAATTATCTTCTTTTAAAATATTCATTTTCTCCCAATTGTTATTCACATGATGGAAGGACTTGTGCATGTAAGAAAGAGAGAGGGTTTAACAAAAAAAAAAGGGCAAATTACATATACACCCCTCGAGGTTTGGCTAAATTACAGATATCCCCCTGAGGTTTCAGAAATTACATCCCGCCCCCTGAGGTTTGTATTTTCATAACAATTTGCCCCCTGAGGTTTATATTTCATAACAAATTACCCCCTAATTTTTTATGCAAATATAGCATTCAGGGGGGAATTCGTAATTTCTCAAACCTCAGGGGGACATTTGTAATTTAGTCAAACCTCGAGGGGTGTATATGTAATTTGCCCAAAAAAAAAATATTAATGGTTCGCCTATTAGTTACTGTAGCATAAGTTGGTTGGACTAGTTATTTGACTTGTCCGCTGCGGCTGATTTTTTAAAATTTTGCTATAGCATATGTTGGTTTGATTAGTTGTTTGGCTTATCCGCTGCTGCTGATTTTATTAAATTTTGCTAGTTAAGTGTGGTTTATTAGGCTTCTGAAGATGCTTTAGAGCATCCATGTCAGTCTTAATAAATTTTGAGTCAAATTGTAATTAAAAAATTATTTTTTCATCTTGGCTAGTATTTTTTATATGTACACATCATATTAAATTTTTTATTCCAAAATTAAATTTTATAAAATATTCATTTTGTATTGTTAAAAAGCTGCCAAAGTAATATAGGAGAAGTTAATTTTGTATTGTTATATATATGCAATTTCATGTTAAAAAAAAAAACAATTGTGCCCAGCGGTGGCTGTCCGACCAGACATCCAAAGTGTATAGGAGATATATATGCAGTTTCATATTCGTTAAAAAAAAATTGTGTAGCAATCGGTTATCTAGCAAGATGTCCAGTCGGATGACTGCTATGATGTCTGGTCACTCTTCAGAATAAATAATAAAATATTATATAATTTGTGAATAGTATATCACTACATGCAGTCATGTACTGTAACAAAGTTAAACAAAAACTAATTTAGAAATAATTTGTTAAGATCGATAGAGTAAGAATTTTATAATTTGCTAATTATATTTAACTAAAATTGACGAGACTGATGTGGATGCTATCACACACATATTGATATCTAAAAACAGGTACATACAGAGGGCAGGACAGACAGGGTGCTGCATGAAGTTCAGGTATCCAAGTATGGTGATGCAACAAGAGCTTAAGTGGGCCGAGAAAGGGCCCAGGAGGAGTGGAGAGAGACGTTATGGATCCACTACTCACAGCACCATGATGTCCAGATCAAGAAGCCCAATAACTCCCAGAACCCCCACTAGGGCCCACTCTCACGGCGGCCCAGCTGAGACCCCTTCTTTTGTCATGAACTCACCCTACTCTGCTTACTCTCCCACTAACCATCCCCTCCCTTTTTAAAATTATAAAAAATAATCTTAATTTTAATCTTGTTCCCCACTTTATTTTTTTTTTCTTAAATTTGAATTATTCATGTTGTTCTTTCTTCATTTGTTTTATTTTTGTTTTTCATGACAAAACAAGAGTGTGCTGCTTAATTTTTTTTTTCTTTTTTCTTTTTTTTTTTTTTTTTTTTTTTTGACTGGGTAATGTGCTCTACATATGCTTTCTTGTATTAATGAATTTTCTTGTATGCAATAAGGGACAAATATGAATTTACTTTAAAATAGATAATTAATTTTATGTTTCCCTTGTTGGATGTCAAATCCCTCTTGAAAACTCCTAGGGGAGACCAAAAAACAATAAAGAATCAATGACCAAAAAGCAATTGTAACTTGGAGGTTCAAGTCGGGTTTGGAACGCGAGAATTCACTATTGGTATGTTTGGTTGGGGATTTAGAAAGAAAATTAGAAAAAAAATGTGAAATGTAAATAAAATATACCTACATTTCATTTAATTTTAAACACATTTTTTTTTTTTCAAATCTCTTTCTAAATCCTCCAATCAAATACAGTATATAAATGAGTTTTGAGTGGGATTTGAAACTTTTTAACTAAATATAATAAGCTGAAAAGAAGTTGTGGCTTCTAGGTGTAGATATACCGGGAATGAGTAAAAAAATATGGATTGTTACAGGGCTTAAGTATTTTTGAGTAATGATAATTATTTTAGGGTTCAGATTTTTTTTTTTTTTTTTTTGCGACGGTAGTTTTTTTTTTGGGTGCTTTTTAACTCATGATTGTAACCTATATGATTTTTAGTGGATTAATATTCTGCTTCTGTTGACTTAAATAGGTTTATGTCAAATCTCTTAAAATATTTTTGTATTTTTTTTTTTTAGTGTGTGCGTGTGTTTTTATTTAAATTTGTAAATTTAAAATTCATTGGAATTGCTCCCAACAATTTTAGCCTAACTTTTTAGGCACAAATAATTTAAGCATAGAAAAAAAAAAATAGGCAGAACACTCACATAAGCATAGTCTCACAATATGTGGGACCCACACTAGTATAAGTATTTTGAATATTTTTAAAAACAAAAGATAATATTAAGCTTAAGCTACCTAATGAAAATCAAAGTCGCAAAGTTGCAATGATTGTCCTTTTTTGTTTTTCTCGTTAATATTGTGGTGACCAAATCATCCACGTGTTTAACATAGTTTCGCTTTTGGGTATTAAAATCCTGAAAATCAATCTTTCTATCAGATGATTGGTAAGAAGAGTGGAATGTATAGATAATCTGTATGAATAATTTTTTCTCTAAATAGTCCATAATTTAACCATTACACTTGAATTATATCTTATACTTTTTTCCCTCACAATTTCTATCCAAATCCAAACACGGCATAAAGATTGTAAAAATAACTGGAGTTATCTTAAATAATCTCCATTACATTCGTTGACTTGACCTTATTTTTCATGATTCTAATTACTCATATTTTGAGATTCCTATATTTCAAAAGTCTTATGATTTGATAATTGTTAGTGAATTGAAACAGTTGCATAAAGTTTTTAAGGAAAAAGGTCCTAATCACAATTTTTAAATGATCCGGTTTTGAATTCAAGATCAATTAATGTTAAGCTTAATTTTACATGATAACCAATAATAAAAAATTAAAAATCATTCTGTACAACGAAGGGTTACCGAAATCTCCCCTAGTTAGATTAGACACCCAAAAATCCCCAAGTCTTACCAACTCATCTACATCCTTGAGTACAGCCTACAAGAACCATGTTGAGTTACAAACTTTTATTTATATTTCTTCCTTGTGAGTCTGTCTAAGATATATGGGTAAATTACAAATATATTCCTGAGATAGCTCTTTGTAATTTAAAAAATTACAAATATCTTTCTGTCAGAATTTTTTATTTAACAGAATTAATTAAAAAAGTAAAACTTTTAACTGTTCACCTATACAATAATAAAATTGTCTAAATTATTAATTGAAATAAAAATTTTAACATTATTAAAAACTGTTAATTAAAATAAAATTTTTATTATAATTAATGTTAAGCTTAATTTTACATGATAACCAATAATAAAAAATTAAAAATCATTCTGTACAACGAAGGGTTACCGAAATCTCCCCTAGTTAGATTAGACACCCAAAAATCCCCAAGTCTTACCAACTCATCTACATCCTTGAGTACAGCCTACAAGAACCATGTTGAGTTACAAACTTTTATTTATATTTCTTCCTTGTGAGTCTGTCTAAGATATATGGGTAAATTACAAATATATTCCTGAGATAGCTCTTTGTAATTTAAAAAATTACAAATATCTTTCTGTTAGAATTTTTTATTTAACAGAATTAATTAAAAAAGTAAAATTTTTAACTGTTCACTTATACAATAATAAAATTGTCTAAATTATTAATTGAAATAAAAATTTTAACATTATTAAAAACTGTTAATTAAAATAAAATTTTTATTATTATATAATGTAATTTTTAGAACTAACTTGTAATTTAAGTAAAACTCAGATGGTGTGTTTATAATTTACCCTAGATATATTAGACACTAACATCTTAATTTTTTTTGAAATCTTCAAAGAAAATATTAAAATAAAATTTTTATTTTATTCGGCTTTTGAAAAATTAGATGTTTGACAATAATATATTTTAAAATTTTCTTAGAGAGTCTTAGACGGCCATTGATAGCGGGCGGGATCAGCGTTATATGCTTTGCCATTAAGTTTCCACTGACTTTGAAAGCAAAGACTTCGAGTCCCTTGAGTTTGAAGGAAAAAAGTAGTTTCACTATAGTCCAAGTGGATGGAGCGTATTGTTTGAATTTGTGACAAGTTCGATTTCGATATTTATCCAGTATATTTTGTAGTCTTTTGTGTGCAAATTTATAAATTATTCATTTAAAAAAAATTTAAATCAATTTGGTAATTGTAATAACGCGTTTTCATTGATTGGTTGTATTTTTATTTTTTAGAAAACACACCAAAAAAAAAATATTGTTACACAAATTATTTTTAATTTTTTTAGAAAACAACTTACTTTTGAAGAAACATAAAAAAGAACTATTTTTACACAAAAATAAAAATTATGTGTATTTAATTTTTTAAATTTTAATTTTCAAATCACAAATAAGAGAACAAAAAAAATATAGGATAAATTACACTAATCTTCTTTGAATTTTGAAAAAAATATAACAAACGTCACAATTTTGGCATGAGTACACTAGCCTCCCTTCTAGTAAGATTTATTAGACCAAAACTATTATAGATAGTGTGAACACACAAAAATAAACAAAATAAATATGCATTTCAGTGTTAAAAAGAAGATAATATCATTTTTTATTCATATAACTAATGAATTATTGATGAATAAAGAATTGAGAGTTGTATAAATTAAAAAAAAATTAAAAATTTAATATAATTGTGTCAAAATTATAAAATTTATTATATTTTCTACAAATCTAAAACAAAAATTAGTGCAATTTACGCAGAATATTAAAGACACAACAAAACAAGACTAGGACATCAGGGTATTGAAAAACACCCGGCATGCAATCTACATGATAGAACAGTGCAGTAACTGTTGGTGAGGCAGGTGGTACCCAAAAAGTAATATTGATCATTAAAAGGTGCTCATTGGTGATTTATTTAAGGTATCACTGTAATCCTTAAGTGTCGATGTGTAGGTCAGATTTATTTTAATTTAAAGAAACAAATTTATTATCTAAGTAAGAAAAAAAATACACTAATGCTGTGTTTGGTTGAGGAATTTGAGGAAATATTTGAAAAAGGAAAGGGAAAAGGTGTGTGAAAGTATGTGAAATGTAAGTATATTTTTTTTACATTTCACCTACCTTTTTCATTTCCCTTTCCAAATCTCTCAACAAATCCCTCAACCAAACACAGCATAACTCTCAATACAAGAGACAAACTTACGATCAGATTATAGCCCAATCAACTTTACCGTTTAAAAAATAGACCTCTAGTTACGTCCCTAAAGTCGAGTCCTGCTAAGTTACGTAAAAATACACCTTTTCACTCCTCCTCCACCACCCATGGTGATATCCAAAATGTAATCAATCATTCAGTCATTGCCACAGTATCAGATCAATAATGCCCTGCTATGGCTAGACGTCGAGAAAGGTTGGTTTAAAGGCGTGGTCATATTTTTGGGCAATCATAATTCATCATCTTTATTTATATTTTTCAATTATTCAATATCTCATCCATCCATCATAATACCATTAAAGTACCACGTGATGATACCTCAAGACCACCATATAACTTCTCCTAGACATCCAAATATATCAGACAATGCATCAACTTGTTTAAATATATTTTTTAATTTTTTTTATGAAAAAATGTATAAAATAAAATAATAAAAAAATGATATGACCTAAATAAATATATTTATCTAAATAAATATAATTATATAAGTTATACCAAACACCTTTAAATCTTGTTAAGTCCCACCCTTCAATTCAAAGTCTCTCTCTCTCTACCAAAGTAGCTAACTTCAGATCAGAAGGCATGTGTTCAGTCCTGTGTGACTGCATGCAAGGCCCAACGGTGATGCCATAAAAAGGTTGACAACTAAAAGGATTAATTACACTTAACACCTCATAATTTTTTATAATATATATATATATATATATTTTGTTCATCTGATACTAATAAAATAAATTAAACTTGTTATGTGAGCAATACGTAGTATTTATCTTGCTTAATTAGCTAGCTATCTTATACTTTCACGAAAATCTTACTTTAGTTTTATACTTTTAATACTTTCGTTAAAATCTCACTTTGTCCTTCTATTTTAATTTCCATTAGTTTCATTAATAGTAGATGGATGAAAAAGTAATAACTTTAACTTAAAATGTAAAAAATTGTGTTACAATTAAAAGTGAAATGAACGAAATAATATCTTGGTAAAAATTGATAGATGCAAAGTATAATTAACCCCAACTAAAATTAATGAGATACTAACCAAATTATACATTTTTTTTTTTTTTAAACTCAGAAAAAGAAACCAAACTATGCATTGGTATAGTTTAATTTGATCCACCCAAAATCATCCATAAACAAAACTTAACCTCTTCATTCATGCCCTGCATATTCGGAATTCCCATCAATATTTACAAACCTCCAATCAA